CTGAACTGTACATTGTGACATTAAAGGGGCACCAGCTTCACATGTCAGAGTCAATTACTCATGGGGAGTGCTGTTCGACACGTGGGAACTGCTGTATAATGTTTTTTTGTGGCTGTGAAGGGGCCAAAAATTACCTGAAAATGACTAAAATTAATTAATTAATCAGTTTTGGCTCCTTTTTTTGTTTGTTTATTTGAAATTAGACACTAGAGAGATGAGAGGAAGGATGCTCCATTGGAAACCCCCCTCACTCCCCTCGACACCTTCCCAATGTCTCTGAATCTCTCTAAAACCGACTGACTGTGTGCTCAGTGTGATTCCTTGTTCCCCACTCAATTATTATTCACTTATTTTGTATGTATATTGAGTATTTTGTATTATCAGTGCCTCCAAAATGAATATAATATATATATAGTACACCAAAATGAATGTTATGATCATAGGCAGAGTACATTGCCACTTGCGTCTACACATTAGAAACTAGATTATTATCTTTTAAATTAGTTTTTCTAGTTGCTTCCTATGAATTTAAACTGTAAATAAAATGCATTTTGTTTGACGCAAAATAATGGCAAAGTTGAAAGCTGCCTCCTCCTATTTGTTGTTTGGTTGAGAACAACAGAGATTATATAAAATGTAGAGAAACGTTTGTTTGCTTTTTTTTTGTTAATTATGAAAATATGTAAGAACATCATTGTCCATCTGTGTTAAGTGACAAATAATGAACACTTTATTATCACTTTTGAATATCTAACCCTACAGAGCAGATACAGTCTTGATTACAGTTACCAACCAAAAATACTTGGTTAAAATATTCTTTTGTTGTCACCCCCCTACTGATTCACTGAATCTCATCCTTGAGAAACTAACTTGAGGATGATGGAGACGCTTACATACAACAACTAGAAATATGATTTTAACAAAAATGGAGCGAAGCCTGCGAGCTAGTTCAGGCAGTCAACTCGAGCTGCGCTGATATACACACATAACATGCCTTATTCCATGATCACTAACCAAGCGCACCCTTTCAATCTGGCGGTCTATTTAAACTGCACAATTTCCCAGCTCTCCCTCTGCTCTGTCAATGTTGCCCTGCATCCGTATTGCTGCCTGCTGCACTGTAAGCATCTACCTGTAGGCTCCGGCTAGGGGTTTAAGTCATTTGCTCATCACTCCCCAATATCTCTTTGTAAACATATCTGCGGGGAGTGATGAGGTGGGAGCCAAGATGCCAAAATCTAAATATGTTATACTGCTGTAATAAACATTTTAAATGTGAGTTGTCTGACTGAAGTGGATTTCAATTGTCTTAAGTCTGAACTTTAGGGAGAAGGAGCACAATTAGCAATTTTGTGGGAAGTAGAAGAAAAGTAATATAACTAATAATGTAACTAATTACTATTGGCAGGTAGTAAAGATTATTTTTTAAAAGACTGGTGAATAATGAGTAATAAATCACAACACGGAGCCTGTAACACCAGCAAAACACTCCCAAACCCTCACTTACAGTAATGATAAAGACCTTTTTACTTGCCTTACCTTCCCTTTCTGATCTTTATCTACAGTGACGCTGCGGTTTTGACATTTAATGCGTGTGTTTGTGTTTCACTGTGAGCTTGAATGTGTTTGATGATCTTGATACATACTGTACAAAGCTGGCACGGCCTACAAGCAAATTCCACTGAAGACACCTACTAATGATAGAGACAGGAAACACACACACACACACACACACACACACACACACACACACACACACACACACACACACACACACACACACACACACACACACACACACACCCTATTATCAAGAGCAAACATGTTACTAATGCTACAATCCAGTATCTGTTCAGGTTTTTAAAAACTAGCCTACAGGCATGTTGACCACTGGGTGTGTGAAACAGTCAGTATTACGGACAGGAAGCCACTCCTCAACGGTGCCCACCCTCAATTCAACAGCTCATTAATGATCACTGGGTGGCATGTTTGAGTTTGTAGATAGAAAATGATGTTTTTATATCAATTCTACATAATTTATACTCACTCTCCTTTTTCAATCCCACAGTATTACAGTACTTTAATTATGTACACACACACAAAACAGCCACTAAACCATTTAAAGCACACATTTAAAGTTATTGGTGTGCAGGCGTTCACTAACACAGCCGGACTCTCAACAGAGTCTTTGTGTCTTTATAAATAACAGTTCAGATACAATTTGGGATTGTTGGAGAGTTTTAGTGGATTCACTCATGTTTTTAATTAATCAATCAACAGTTCAGTGCCCAGAGTGACTTCTTCAAATTGCTTTTGTGAAAAAAGTCTCACCAAAATCTCCATTTAGTAGTAGGAGTTTGTCATGGATACGTTAAAATTCTAATTTGTTCTGAGCACTTTAAAGTGGCTATAATCGATATTTTATACAATAACAATGACTCAAGTGACAATGTGAAGTGGGTCTCTCATTGTAATGAACCTACAGAGAATTATTACCACCTGAATACGCAGCTCTCTCGACTTTATGGAGCTTTATAGTGAGCTTTTTCTTAGCTGTCTGACCGCCACTTTCACTGTTTTGGTTCACTCTCACCGCTCTCCTGGTGACTCTGGTTTTGGCAAACAAGTGTTTCCAGTGAAAAAGCTTTAAAAACTCACTGTCCGCTACCTGCTCAGCACCAGCGTTAGCGAGTAGCTGGTGAACATCGTGGAGCATTTAGCAGCTAAAGAGCAGATATTTCTCTCAGGATGTCGGTGGAGACCAAAAACAGAACTAAAAGAGAGTGAATATTGGACTTAGATTCATCAGAGTGGCTAAAAAAAACACGACTCCAAATAAAAGATAGCGTTGCTCCAAATCTGATGGATGTATAAATAAGCAACTGTTTGCAAACAAGGATCAAGAAAATGTATTTATCATCATACTAAACAAGGTTATACAACAAAATTAAACTTAAGCTGTCCCTTCATGCGACACACAAGGAAAAAGATAATTAAATGTATAGTAGAATAACAAATATGTACACGTATAAACCCAGGAAATAATTTTAATGTTTTTAATTTGAGTCTTTAAAAGAATAAATGTTAAATAAAGGCATTTTAATTCTGCACAAACTCTACAGTGATTACTGAGACCATATTTTACTCGTGCAATGAGCCCTTCCCAAGAGGGAATAAGCACAATGTATCTAAAGTATCAGAGCACCAGTATGTGATCACCATTAAGACCCAGAAGCACTTCTACTTCAGTATCTTCACTTTCAAATTGGTTGTTTTGTCCGACCAACAGTCCAAACACAATAATAATCAGTACACGATGATATAAAACGGAGGAATGTGGATTATTTTTTACAGATATTTTCTTGAGAAGTGATTCACGATTTTTGGGAAAGATCATTTTTGCGTCACTATTTTAATTTGTTGGGGTCTAAAAACCAAACATGTTTTCTTATATCTGTAGAACAGGATTTGTAAGTCTCTGCAGCACTAAAGTACTTCATTAAAATTGCACTTGCACCTGATAAATAACTTATAATTACTTATATACGTATCTCAGACTACACTCACTTAAAACAGGTTTAAAAGCCCACCCTGAATCTAAATTATAGCGCTGCAGTTCTTCCGCTCTCTGTTTTAACTGATCCCGGAGTACATTATCACACCGGTGGATCTCCTTTTCATCAAAATCTAGAGGAGCCAGAAGGTAAAAGAAATAAACCCACATGATGACTATTAGAGGTGGAGGGGAAGCAGCTGATTCTTGAAGCACAGACTTTTTTTTTGGATGGTATCCTCATTTCCTTCTTCACCCTTGACCTCTAACCTCTAACTACTTCCTCCTTTCCTGGAATGTGTGTTTGAGCTCTGGAGGAGGAGTCAGTAAAACAATATGTCTGCAAAAAATCCCCTTTAGTGCCATCAAAGAGTCAGTTAAAAGGTGGAAATCACTCTCCGGTTGGCTGTGACAGTTGGGACAAAGAGCTGCAGGTCAGAGGTGAGGAGGGTCAAGAGCAGACAGGAAAGCATAAAAATCCACATCTGGGGTTGCACTTGTTTATGGATAACACATTAAACATACACTCACGTGCACACGCAGCTGGATCATAGCAGCAATCTTCCTACACACACACACACACACACACACACACACACACACACACACACACACACACACATCTATATATATATATATATGTATATAAATGGCAGCTGGTTGTTGTCACTGAGAAAGTAATTAGAGACTGCTGCAGGAAGCTGGAGGAACAAGCCTTATATTTGGATCGCAATGTACAATCACTCCACTTGTGTGTATGAAAAAGAAAGAGTCTTTCATCATGAGTGTGTGGTACTTTAACCTGAGGGCATGTCAGCGGTGGATGGGAAGAGTAAGTAGTGTGATTCACACACAGTTTGGGGATTTTTCCCTCTGAATACTGTAAGCTGATCGACGTATCAAGTGAATTTGCTGTATTAGCAACCCATAAAAGTCTCAAAAAAACTGTATCACCATCATGCTTTGCAAATATAAGTGTCAGTGGACTTCCTCTTGGCAACACTTTTGAACGCAACTCTTAAAACTTCTATTTTATTACAGTATAAAAAGGACAGACTGTACCTGACTAATGCTACGTTCACACTGCAAAACTTAATGCTCAGATCTGATTTATTTTTGTTCATTTGTGACCATTTGTGATAAAAGTCTGATATGAGCGTTCACACTGAGCTCACAGCAGACCACATTAGAAAGAATCAAAAGATCAGATTATATGTGATTTGTGTTGTTCAGACTGTCTCTCACCTTAAATGAAGAAAAGTAACTTAATTCTCATAAGATCTTTAAAACAAGTTGATTTATGTTGGTTGCAAACAGGTCGTTTTTTAAGACTCAATATGAGAAAAAATTATATTGTTTGTGGTTTATGAACACAGAGATAAAATACATACGTCCTTCTCGCTATTAAAAGTCACATGTTTCATATTCTTCAAGGCAACAGGACACATTATATAAATAGAAAATATTTATTTGTGGTGCATAAATACAGTACAGTGGAGTGTACATGGTTGACTGACAAAGCTGACCAGAGGTAGAAGAAAGTACCACTCTACTATAATAATCAATCTTCAGTTCTTTGTGATAAACAGTGTTCAGGATGCTTTCTTGAATAAAACAGTACCACACTGAAAAAAATACTCTATTACAAATAAAAAACAGTCAAATTTTCAGTTTACTGTCTTTAAATTAGACATTTTTTCTCAAGATTCAAGATTGAAAGTGTAATATAATTTTTTTTTGGTTTCCATGTTTATATCTGTGCTGTAGTGAACTATAATAGTATCATGTATTGTGCTTCACTTGTTAATGTTTGTTCATTAAAAGGTTTAAAAGTCAAACAGAAGGAAAGGAAAATAGATTTTTCGAAACAATTGTACCTATTGGACAATTAGTAACTCATTGATGTGTGAGCAGCAGTTCATTGTGGAGATAATCTGTAACAATAAATCATATTTTATAATCTGGATGGACATTTAAACAATAACAACTGCCCGATAAATGTAGTGAAGTATAAAGTAGCATCAATCTGAAGCACAAGTGCCTCAAAACTGTACCGAAGACAGTAAACTGGTGATAAATTACTACATTTAAAACATCTTCAGTTCAGATTGTCACATTCAAAACACCTGATAATATCCAGCACGAGTACACATGTCGTGTGTGTGTGTGTGTGTGTGTGTGTGTGTGTGTGTGTGTGTGTGTGTGTGTGTGTGTGTGTGTGTGTGTGTGTGTTTATGTGTACAATCTGTAAAATGCACACTGTGGAGAGAATATCGGATTATTATCATTATTGATTAAGGATCATTACATTTGTTGAGTCCTAAATTAAAGTCTGATCATGTCCACGTCCGCTCCTCTGAAACTAACAGTCGTCACTTTGCAGCATGGAGAAAAAGAAAGAGCACAGGCTGGCCCACGAGCTGCTGCAGTGCTCTTCGGCCTTTCTCCGGTGGTCCGCGCGCGTGCAGGCGGTCGTACCGGCGGGAGCTGCGGGAGAGGAGGTGGAGGTGGAGGTGGAGTTGGAGAGAGGTAGCGGCGGAGTGTCACCGGACTGCGCTGCGGAAACGGAGCTGCTCATGTCCAGCTTGAAGTGCGCATCCCGGGGCGCGCGCTTACACATGCCAGCCCTCACCAGCGCGCGCTCATCCCTGCACACTTTGCCCTGCAGCCTTTTGAGCGCGCGGGCCACCTGTTTCCAGAAGCCCTTGGGGTCGGACTGGTAGCCCGGGCAGCGCTGAGGTTTGGCGTTGTATCGACACTCCAGATCGGTGACTCCGCCTTTGACGCGCGCCTCCCGGTTCTCGCATTTGACCGACAGCCTGACCGTGTCCGCGACGTCTTTGGCCACCCACGTGCACTGCATCTTATCCTTGGATGAGAACTTTCCCCGGCCGGTCGCTGCAGACTTGTCCCCGCTCCTCTGCGCTCTGTCGGGGGCCGGGGTCACGGTCTTGTCCGCTCCTCGGTTCTTATTGCGCGCACCGGAGGACGGAGAGACCTGCTGCCCGAGGAAGGCCAACAGCAGCCAGGGAGCGAAAGTCCTCAGCAGCAACATATCTTCTTATAGCAGAAGATGAATATTATCTGCAAGGACAGACGATGGTTAAAAAAAGACAAGGTTCAGAGTCTCAGTGCCGGAGATAATCAGGTCATAGGGCGCAAAACAGTGTTTAAAATACAAATATTTACTATTACGCATGAAAAATTATATTTTAAAGTCTGCTGTGAAAGGTAACGAGGCCACACATTATACTGCACATACAAGAAAGTCACATATACCGAGTCCAGCTTACCAAAAATGACAAGTGTCGCCGTGCGTAAAGCTGCAGCCTTGTGCCTCTCTGTGGTCGCGCACATGGCTTTCATACACAGATGCTGCGGCACGCCCACCACTCCCGCCCAACAACACTCACGCACGCACCTCAAAGCAAATCCATTGAGAAGAAATCTTGGCAGTAGTTTCTTTTGGGAGGAAGGGAATGTGTTTTGTTCTGGCGTGATCCGACGTGCCCAAAACTGAACTCCCGCCCTTCCACGGGAAGATCAAACACACTGTAAAGCAACGCGGATGATGGATCTACGTGTCCGCACAGAGCGCGTTCAATCTAAGGAGGTTAAACGAGCCCTGATAACCACACTGTAACCGCACCTTACGCGCGTATACGCACACACACATAGTCTTGGAGGCTCGACTCCGACTTTCCACCAATCCGCTGCTTCATCCAACCATGAGGAGATCCTCTCTTTTCAGCTCTTTTCCGGGGCATGTGGTTTGACTTGTGTTGCCAGAGCGGATAAAAGATTATAACAATACAGTCTGCTGATGTAAAGTGTGAACAGTGATCATTAATCACGTCTGCATTCTTCAACATATAATTTATTTATGGAAGATTTAAAATGCCGAAAACAAAACCAAATAAAGAAAGAGAAATGACACATTGTTATATGTATTTATTTATTAAACTGAAACCTTTTTGTGTTTTATAACTATAACTGTTAACTCACACACATAAACTCACTTAATATTTTATTATTTATGATGTTTCAGTTTCTTCATTAGGTACCTGAAATGGTAAAAATAATTTAAAAAAGAAGCTTTTCAGCATTAAGCAGATGGGAGTTCTTATTGTTTTCAAGTTGGGAGATTTTCTATAGTTTTTTATTGTTACACAAATTTTTTACACAATAAAATCAAAGCAGACCAAAGAAAACAAAGATAAGTGTAAGTCAACAATAAAGTCTCTTCCACCATGAAGCACTAACCCTCTGCCCATGATCCTACCGCCATGCTCTGATTGGATAGTTGATCATCTTTTATTATAGCATGAATGATGTGTCTCCATTTCAAACTTAGCTGACTGAGGTTGTCCACTCACCAATCAGATTTCGCCATGACGATGATGTGAGCCAATCAGCTCGTTGCTCTCAGCTGTAATTTCAGCATCAGATTGATGTAAAACATTCATATGATGATGATGATGATGATAATCCTCTCCTGAAGGTTCCCAAACAGCTTTAAGATTGTGGCATCACTGCACCTACAACAAGCAGCCCTCAGTGATCCTGTTGAGTACTCAAGACACTCAAACTGGTTTTATTTGTTTTTATTTAGGCGGTTTAAAACTTCCATAAAATCTGATTGTTCATTTTATACTTTACACTTTCATGATCTACCTTCTTGACCTCGGAAACAAAACAATGTCACCACAAGCTCCATTCAGTATCTGTCTCTAGAGCTTTTAAATCGTACGTATCGTAAGATCTTCCTCAGCAGATCCAGTTTGAATTAACTTTCAGTCTCAACTTTCAATCAAACGTAAACGAGAAAAATGTCGGTTTTGAAGATCTATAAATTCATTGCAACTTATCTTCTGGGGAAGATCATGAGGTTCAATGAAAAGCTCCAGAAGAGACACTAAATGCACCTTGTGGTGACATTATTTTGTCAGCTATTACAGTTGATGTCTTGCCTGGAAGTAGTGGACACAATTGTAATAGCAACACACACAGAGAGAGTCCATTTCTATTCATTAAGACTGCTCTATAGGAAAGTGTTCACATATATTCTTCTGTAAACAAATTATAATTAAATCTTTTCAATGGTTCTTAGGGTTTGGTCAGCTAATTTAGGGTTGTTATAACTTGAGAGACACAAACACTGGAAGGATCTATATCCTGGAAAATCCTTAAAGTAACAGAAACTATTCAATTACATACGTACATAGTCTATAAAGGTCTGTTGAGTTATTAAACGTCTGTTCTCTGATGGGACTACAGTGGCTGTGTCATTTGTTGTCGGCGCTGACGTTGAACACATCCTGACTGCCTTTGTTCTGTCTCACACTGTTATCTATCCAACAGTAAAACATTTACCAGATGTCAGCTCCCTTTCTCCATAAACTCTCAGTCAGTCGGTGCTTCTTCCTCCTTTGATATCCTGACATTGACGCAGTGAGTGTCTTTATGTACTCAACTCAGAACGAAAGCCATCATCGTAGTTGGCAGCCTCAGTTTCATACAGTCTGTTTATTATAACAACCACTGTCAGTTCCTCTAATAGACCCTAACCTTTGATAAATCTCTGGAGGTTCATTTTGGTAGTTTTTTTGCAGACTTTCTATGATTTCATTTTGCTGCTCTGTAGCTTTTTAAATATCTTAAACTGCACATGCATGGGATCTGTATTCTCAGTACAAACTCAGTTAAAAGTCTGACTCATCATTTTGTAGTATAAAGTGGGCAGGAACTCAATGTACGAGAAAAATGACGATATAAAAATGTCCAAAACCTGCTGATAAAGACTCAATATATCACTAAAGAACTGTTGAAGCTTTAAAAACTATTGTTTCACTTTTTAAACACACAAATAAGACAGAAAACTGTAAGAAATAAAACTATAATACAGTTTATTTACATGTAAAGTGATTTTTGTCCCAACTGGTTTACACTGAAAGTCAGTGTGATTGTAAATCACTGAAAATGTTAATGGATAAAAGTTTTAAAAAGATATGTTTACAGGCATTAATGAGATACGTAAAAGGCACCTTCAAATGGTTTTGTCAGCTTTTCTCAACATGATGTATAAATAAAGTTATGTAACGATAAATAAAACATGCTCAGTTACTCCACAGAGACTCATGACCTCTCTTACTGGTGGATTTCTCTCACTTGTCAAACGCAGGTGTAACTAATATCCAGTCCATTCAGGTGTTCCAGTTCAAACATCCTACTGATGTTATTAGTTAAACACAGTGCTTTTGTTGCAATGACAAGTCAAAATGTCTGCTGTGTTAAAGGTCTACCAGCTTCAATTTAATCAATATATTTCCTCATAGTGTTTCTTTAACCACTCTTTTTGAAAAGTCTACAGGGAGTTTGTCCCAAGCTGAATGGATTCTACCTCTAGTACAATGTTTCTTCAATCTTTTCACACCAACTCAGAAAATATCCGGCTCTCCAAGTACCAAACTTAATGACCGACGTTAAAATACAGCAGCGTAGGTCGACCCTATTCAACTACAGGTTTATTATGAATAAAAGATTATTTATTCTTGGTTCTTGATTAAGGACCAGAGCTAGTTTGGTGGAAAAGGGGCCCTCCTGATTCACACTTCTCTTCCCAGTAGTTCCTGTTTCGAGCCACGATTTCAGTGTTTTTGAACCGTTAATTTAACTTCCATTTATTATCTTGTCATCACATTTTAGCTCGTAACTAATCATGGATGAATGCGTGCACTACTTGCATTAACGTGAGTACGTAGCAGGTTGATGTTGGAAGAAAATACTACAGGAAAGGATAAACTTCTCTTAAATTATAGTTTGTTTATTTGTTATTATTATATGTTTTTCATTTAAAAAATATATTTCAGAGATTCCTTCATTTAACTCTAGAGAGAGTTTACGTACACAGTTTGAGAACCACTTCTCTAGCAGAAATCATGGACTGTTTGTTCATATTATGAGCAAAACTAAGGATTTGTGCTGACAGAATAACAGAAAAACACAACTTAAAAATAAATAAACGTATACTTGTTGGATTTAAGGACAGAAAATTACTTTAAATTGATGCAAAAAGTGTTTAAATGTGTAAATCACAGCATTAAAAAGAGGCTGTAGGCAACCACAAAGCCACAACACAAGCCAATATATAGATTAAAGTCTTTAATTCGTTCTGAACGCTGAATAGAAAGAACATTACTAAATTATACATTCATAACTTGACATGAAGTTGACCTACATATCACTTACAGCACACCACTGATTCTACTTTAGACTAAGTTATTAAATCCACCCCATCCTGTCATCACGTTTCACTCCTGCAGGTAGGAACAAAGACATCATGGTAGCAAGAAAGGAACCATATAAGGCTCATCTGGGCACACGTCCAATAATCTCACAAGTTATAGTAGTTTATCTCTTAGTCATTGACGGAAACAGTAGTAGAGGATTTACTGTAAGTAAATAGTAGGGAGGCTGTGTGTGTGTGTGTGTGTGTGTGTGTGCTTTTTTCCTCTCTGCTCAGCACAGCACCATCTTGTGGTTGCCAGAGTTTGACTGAATAATACAGACGTGAAGCAGCATGTTAATGGCCACAGGAGACGTTATATGTCTACACAGGCCTGTATATATTGCATATGTGATATAAAGTAGTGGTTCCTAACCTGGGGGTTTTAATACACCATTTTAAGGGGTTTAAGAAAACTTTTAATATACACAAAAGGCTTATATCTCAACCTTTCATTTATTTCTGTGAAGGAGACTAAATTAAATTGTTTTTTAAAAATGTTTAAATTATCATTTTAGATTAAAACTTCGTAGAAATGAACACAACCTATGTTCACTATGTTCTGAATTTGTTAAAAAAAAAAAAAAGCCAATTAAGTTTGTATGATTGTTAGAAATAGTATTACAAGTATTATACAGACAGAGAATTGTTTAATAGGTTCCCTGAAAATATCAAGAAAACTCATCTCTGATCAATATTCACAGCAAATAATCTGCTCAAAATTCATCCAAATCACTAATTTTACACAAACTTCCTGCAGTTATTGTGTTAAATTATTTGGGCAGTTCATCGGCTGTTCTGTTCTGTTATTGTTATTGATTGAATATAATATGAAATATCTATAAAATATGTCTCCTTAGTCAGTTTACCTACAGATAGAAAAGGTTTCCCTTCAGGTTGGGAACTGCTGATATAAAGGACACACACAAATGTTGCTCCTTTGTTTTGTTTTATTGCTAAATTACTTCATTGATGTATTTTGCTAATTTTATCATCTCTTCTGTTGAATAAAGACATATTTGTTTTCAGAAATTTTATTGAGCTTACAATGTTTGAGATGTGTGTATGACTTTGTTTAGCTGCCACAGAAATGTATGACTGCTTATTAAAAGCTACTGAGTTGGATTAATGTGTTTAAATATAGCTATATTGAGACGAACATACATTTTAAAACATATATATAATTTATTATGAGTTTGTATCTCAGCTCCACGAGGTAATAAAATGAGGAAATTATCAACTCTTCCACTTAAACATCCAGTTTTCTCCTTTTGCTTCCACATAAGAAGCTTTAAAGGTCCAGTGTGAAACATTTAGGAGGATCTACTGGCAGAAATAGAATATAATATTCATAGGTATGTTTTCATTAGTGTATAATCAGCTGAAAATGAGAATCATTGTGTTTTTGTTACCTTAGTATGAGACATTTTCATCTACAGAAGCAGCTGGTCGCACAAACACTGGCTCTAGATAAGTGTGGGTGTGAGTTTCGCAGCCACCGTAGTTTCTCCCACACTCTTGGAAGACTGAGCTGCATTCAAATGTTTGCAATCTGCAGCTTCACCGCTAGATGTTACTAAATCCTACACACTGGTCCTTTAAGGTAAAAACCCTTCCAGTATCACATACTGTTTATTGTGTATCAGCTTGTTGCAGCTCTTTACTGAAGGTATTCAAATGAGTGAAATCTTTTTAAACCAAGACTGCATGTTTTATTTTTTCATCCCTGACATGTTTTTTGCAGCTACACTAGAAGAACTACAAGAATTGTGTGTTTAAGATGAGATTTACAGCATCTTACTCCACCGTGTGTGTGTGTGTGTGTGTGTGTGTGTGTTTGTATGTAGGGTAGGGAAACAACACCGGTGCTGCTGCCATTGGTTTCCACCCACACAGACCCCCTTCTGTTCCCGCACAAGGTAGCTCTTAAGACTCAATTCATCGGCTCGTACAAAGAAGTGTTGAGTTCTGCTCAGACGCCTTCTGTGACTGAGCTGTATTATCTTTACTGCGGTCTGGGTTCACTCTGACTGTGTCTGTCCGTTAACAACTTCCTCAGCCAGGCAGCAGACATTGTTGTTACAGCCGGCGATGAAAAACACACAAGGAACCCCCTTTTTGAATGAATGAGTGTGAAAAACTTTGCTGCTTGTTTCAGCTCAGCAGAAGAAACAGAGCGACACAGAAGAAGCAGAAGAAGATGTCACCACTCTGACTTTATTCTCTTCACATTTTCTTAAATGTTGCTGAAACATTTATGTGACACGAGGAGGGAAGTTTACATCATATACAAACAGAATCACATGCCTGCCATTTTTTTTCCCTTTGCCTTGCTGTGTTTTACAGATTTAAAAAAAACTACACGACAGCACATGCAGTCATCCGCTAACCGTACATAGGTGCAGGTCGAGTGTTTTTGGCTCAGTACGTAAGATGCTGCAGCGTGGGGGAGTCGGACCTCACAAGGTGAACTTCAGTGGCTCCCACGCAGAGAGGTCAAAGATGGACGAGAAGAGTTCTGACTGGGTCCATCGCTGGTGTTTCCAACCTGAAAGAAAAATGTGAGATTTTGTGGTTAATTCAAGATAAAAGTTGGTTTCTCTTGCAAAGGGAAACAGTTTGATTTGGAGTTGAATTTATTGACAGTGTTTATATTTATGTCTTTTTATCACTTCTTCCATTACTGATGATTTCTGGCTTCTCAGTTGTTTTCAGTTTAATCCATCAACACCAAAACAACCTCAAATATTTGTCCTACTCTCACTTTTAATTCTAGCTTCTCCACCCAAACTCTTGCTACCAACTTTCTCTCTCTTTCCTTCTTCTACATTTTTCCATCCCTCACCTTTGTCAGCAGTATCATCTCAGTTTTGGAACCAGCTGATGAAGTAGGAGCAGACGCCGTGGAAACTCTTCCAGCAGTACTCGGAGGCGAGGCGGGATGCTTTGGAATCAGTCTGCTCTGTGGGACGAGTAGTGGTCTTCCCAGGCTTGGGAGTAGTCTTCTTGGTCTGGGGGCCCTTGCCTGGCTGGGGTTTGACGGGCTGTGGCTGGGGCTTGACAGGTTTAGGAGTAGTGACGGGCTTTGCCGGGGCGGGCACCACCGGTTTACGTGGCTCCTGGACGGGCTTGGAGGGCTTAGGGGTGGTGGTCTTGGGCCAGGAGGCCAGGAAGGTCATCTGGGCCTCGTCGGGGTATTTCTTACACATCTGTGGGCGGTAGACTTTGGGTCCCTGGCAGGCGTGGCTCAGCTTCCTCATGTCCCACATCATCTGGGTGAAGAAGTGGCGAGGGTTGAGGTTGTAGGCGCGGCACAGGTTGGGTTTGCCCTGGAAGTCGCAGTAGTAGGAGCGTCCTGGGGTCTGGCCCTGACTTGGACCTTTGCAGGAGACACGCAGGCGGGTATAGTCCCCAGCTCCAGACACCACCATGGAACAGGAGTCTTTGGTCTTGGTACTGAATTTGACGGGCTCATCCCAGATGCTGCGCTGCTGCTGCTGCTGCTGCTGCTTGTTGTCGTTGCTGCTGTTGTTGGTCTGAGCGTTTGACACACAAACAGACGCTGCCAGGAACAACAGCAACATTCTCATCCTGGATCTCATGGCGGTTGTTGGGTGTGTTGGTGATGTATGGATGGAGGGTATGGGATGATGTGTCCACACAGAGGGTTAAGGTGTGCAAGGGTGGAAAGCATCTGAGTGTGGCTTTATAAGGCCGAGGCTCACAAAGAAGGTATTATTCAGGTGAGCTGAACTCCTCCTCCAGCACCAACAACCCCCCACAACACACACACACACACACACACACACACACACACACACACACACACACACACACAGCGACCACATGAGTGTGTGTGGTATGTTAAAAAAATAAAAAAGTGATGGGTGAGATGAACGGAAGGAGGGGGGAGAACATAAACTGAGGGAGGTGGGAGAGGGGAAGAGGTCAATGGGTCTGTGGGAGCTGAGGGGGGAAGGGAGTGTAAGAGGGGTGAAGGACACACAAAGCTAAATATTGTTTAAAAAAAGAGTTGCAAGACATTATATAATCCCACATAAGGTGGTTCTTTGACTATTGATGAGGGGGGAGAGGAGTAGGAGTAGGAGGAGGAGGAGGAGGAGGAGGAGGAGGAGGAGGAGGAGAGGACTGAGGGTCCAGAACTAAAGTGCAGCCTGAAGTTATTTGCTGAGGATTTAAAGTTGATCTGTGATAGTAAAAATAAAAAAACCTCATCATGTTGATCTAAAGATCAACAGAGATACACACACAGAGATTTGTTTGTTTGTTTTATTGTCTTTACAAACTTTACAAACTTTGTTCAGATGCAAATTTCTGGTGGAGATCACAAAGCTTCCAGAGGTGCCAAGTTTTGTCCGGCTGAATGTTTATAGGGAATTATATAAACTGAAAGAGACGAGAAGGAACAAATACTTTTACCTTTTTACACAAATATTTGTACTTTCTACTCCTCACGTTTTAAAAACAGACTCATTAGTTTAGTTTTAATGCATCTGAGGAGAATTATTGATTATTATTATTATTATTTTTGCATCATTGCATATCTTCCCAACATCAAGACGGCTGCACAATCACACGACAGACCTGTTGTTTCAGTTAATTTAGCAACAGCCTCTGAAATTTCCTTCAGAGAAACCGAGAGAGTACTTTCTTCTTTTTATACATTTCATTTTTACTTGAGTAAAGAAGTTGAATCTCTCTTTTTTATAGTATCTGAAAGTAGAGATTCTGAAGTAAAGAAAATGAGAATGTTTCTATCTTCGATGAAGAGTTGGAGCAGGCTGATGATGATGAAATATAAATAACAACCTTTGTTCATTCAACGTGCCCTCGGGGGGAAGCCCTATCGTGTCATTTAATTTGTTCGAAAAACTGAAGTGAACTTGTTGAGATCGACCCACGGATGGTCACTCAAGAGGTGTATATCACCCACAATGCATTGCAGGTACGCATTTGGTGCAAGAAAAAACGTTCGCATGGCAGTAATTTTTGTAAATCTCTGGTTATTTTCTTTCTTTCTTTCTTTCTTTCTTTCTTTCTTTCTTTCTTTCTTTCTTTCTTTCTTTCTTTCTTTACCAGGGACAATTATGCACATTAATCCACATTCTAGTTTACCCATCGATGTAAATGTGCTGGAATTAAAGAATGAGCTCATTTCTATCCCTATGAAAATTATTGATAATATTGTTTCTTATAGTTGTAAATGCCTGTACAAAAAGTAAAAAACTATTATTCTTGTGGGACATTGTGTTGTGCAGCAGTTAAGTCACAAAAATCACAAACTAAAGTGAAATAAAGACGTTTATGTTGATGGTTAAGAAACAAAGTACAGTGAAAAGCCAAAAATAACACACTGAAATCTCAGAATAGAGACTGACCTAAACAAAGTCCCATAGTTTAACTCTAAATACATATACTGTACGTGGGACTACCCAGTATAATTCAATTTGATGTGCAGGGTTTGAGTTCACAACCAGGCCTGACTGAACTCGACAGCCAGTTTTACCTGATGAAAGCTGCAGAAAAACAGACGCTGCCTGCAGAGAGACAAAGTATTTCATATTCCCAGCTGGGATGGACGCTGAGCAGAAGAAGAGAGTGTATGTAGAGTCTGATGATGAGTACAAAGTCACGTGTGTACAAATGCACGCGTGCCCTCAGTACATCTGGTGGTTGGGGAAGAGACAAAATCCCCCGGTAAGAGACACCGGAGTAAACATGCGAGGTGTGTGTGTGTACAGTATGTTGTCTGGAACAGATGTTTTCCTAAATTAAGTTAGTGTAGTAGTCTTCTGATAGGATGCAACAGTATCACGCCACCTCAACCACCGCCAAGTCCCCCCCCTAAAAACAGACCTGAACCTTTTAAGCTGCTGTGTGTGTGTGTGTGTGTGTGTGTGCATATATTCAGCTCTGCATATGTTACATGAATGTTCTCTACGTTCCTGTGTGTTTTGGCAAGATTGAGGCTAAGTTGCTTCGGGGGTGGGGTGGGGGGGGGTTGGATGTCTGAACATTTGCTTCCCTTATATCATCAAATGTGTTCTCTTTTCATTCCTGGGGCTCAGAGGTTATGTAAAGAGCATAAAAAAAGCACACTTAAAAGACCATTTGAGTAGATTTTATGACCTTTAAAAGCACAAAAGAATTGCTATCTGAGTTTCCTCAGTGGGTTTTGTATTCTTGCTGAAGTGTATACGTCAGTGTGTGAGTCAGAGAACAGTGGTTGTATCCATCCAGTTCATGTTTCATGTGTTAATGGAGGAAAAACAAAAGCAGACACTTATTGGACTGAAGTTTTTATTCACAGATTTGCGCCCTCATCACAACTCCAGCTGTATTGTGGAGGCTCAGTCCTCAACCTCTGAGTTTTTATTTCTCAAACCACAGGATGTCGAAGAAAAAAAAAAACCTCTGACAACACAAGCAACTAAGCCCTCACTAATGGTCTGGCGAGAAATGCCTAAGACACAATATTTTGTTTGTTAGCTGTCTGAAAACCTTGTTAGGGTATGTGTATCTGGCTCGTGTGTGTGTGTGTGTGTGTGTGTGTGTGTGTGTGTGTGTGTGTGTGTGTGTGTGTGTGTGTGTTTAGCAATGGACCAGGACAAACTCTGGGCTGATCTCTTCATGTGTCAAAGATTTTAATAATTTAGAAAACTTTCCTCCTTCAGTGTTTAAAGTTCAAAATTTCAGAAAAACTGGCTCTTTTCGCTCTCTTTCTAACCATGAAGCTACAGCCGAGCGATGGTTAGCTTAGCTTAGCACAAAGACTGGAAACAGGAAAACCGTGGCAAGTCTCTAAAGATGGTAATGTTGATTGGTATGAAACTTTGTACAGACATTTATGGACCTCAGAGGATAAATCTGAGTGACTTTGGTGATTCAGATACGATAACGTCATGATGGGGTCTGATCGACAAAAACTTTTCACATTTCTCATCTTTATTGTGCAGATGTCAACTAAATATATCCGTCTCTCCTGATTGAAATACTTTGTTTTATGACCATAATACTCTCTTAAGTGCTGATACATTATCATTGTGAGATTGTTAACATGCTGACGTCAGCATTTAGCTCAAAGCATCACTGCGAACCCGTCGTACCTTTTCTAACTCTCTGCAAAGAAAGCCAATGAGCGTTTTTCCTGGTTCATGCAACGTGTGGAGCCAAACTGATGCGACCTATATTACAAATATTAACAAAGAAAAGAAAAGAAAAGGACAGAAAAGAGCTACTGCTACTACAAAAAAAAAAAAGACTACTTACATGTTATAAAACAAACATTAATAAAAATATATAAAACTTTCAAAAGTTTTGAAAGCGTAAAAAATGTACACTTGTGTGTCACCGTGTTAAAACTGATGATGTAAGTACAAACAAATGTAATCTACAGGTAAAACTAGCTATGCAGGAACGTTGCTCTGATAGTCGGTAATGTACAGCATGACGCACTAGAAGGACTGCTGTGGTACTGCTGTGACTGGATGCTGGTGTGCATTGAGATAATATTTGATAAAGTACAGTTGGCTGGCATCAGAGGTCCCTGTCAAATGGCCTGAAGGGGTACTTGGGGGGGGGGTTGGGACGCCCTCACCACACAGTTCCTGATTGTTGTTGTTGTTCTTCCCTTTGGTTCTTGGAAGTGTTACAAGATCTGAATAGGAAAGCTTCAAAGTCCAGAGATCCTAAAAAACAATAAGACCATGTGAGAAATAACCTGCCGTCGTCACACAGTGTGTTTTTGTTGGATGAAGAGAAGAGATGAGCACTTACCACGAAGGGAAATATTAATTCCAGTTCTCTTGTCCGCTGTGGGAAAAAAGAGAAAATGAAATCAACTCTGGGTTTATCAGCTGCTGTACTTCTGTGCATGCTCGAGACCTACAGAAGTACACTGTAGTAGGAGATCCTTTTTTAGGGTGACTTAAGCACTGTCACCATCTTTACTACGATAGGACTGGAGAGGGATAGAGCAAACAAACATAAATTGGATGTAAACTTATATACGGTAGGTCAGCAGACGATATCGTATCATGTCATAGCCCTACAAACCACACTGTATCATAACATTCAAATGTTAAGTTCCCATAGTGTTAAAATAGCAGAAACTGACTATAAATGATATTTATTTCAGAGCCACAATTTTCTACATCACAGGCTAAAGATGGTACAATCGATACAAGATTACACTTAAATACTCAACTCAAAATAAAAGTCTGTAAACTGTATTTGTGATATCTTTGTGTGCATGTTTTATCTTTATTTGTACACACACAACAGCATGTCAAGTATGGATAAGTACTTCATACAACCTCTACTTTAAAAAAATCTGATATATCACTTTAAGTTTTTGTTGCTTGTTCTCCCTACAGGATGTCTCCTACACACCGGACGAACCCACGGACAAACACCAAGACATAGTTACACACAATTTGGATGCAGGTGTATAAAAGTATCTTCCGTCATGGATAACTTTTCCTTGTTGAGTCCCGGTGTTTGAACGGACATTGGCGGGTTAAAAGATAAGAACGGTGATGAATGAAGAAGAAAAAAAATGGAAGAAACACTGACAAGTAAAAAAAATCTCCTGGGTGAAGTCAGACTGATGATGATGATTAAATGTCTGGAGGTTCTCAGATGGTTTTAGTTTCTTAACGTTGTCATGAG